CAACTTTTTATCTCACAAATCTGACTATTTTCTCGCAATCTTCTCAATTTTATATCTTACAGTTACGGCGCCCCGCACATGGCATGCAGGAAAAAAATTGTAGGCTAAATTGTGTGCACGATTTACTATTTCGTTCCCTCGATTTATAAATTGTGCGCACGATTTACTAATTCGTTCCCTCGATTTGCTAATTCATTCCCTCAATTTATAAATTGTGCGCACGATTTACTAATTCGTTCCCTCGATTTGCTAAATTGTACACACGATTTATAAATCGAGAGAACGAATTAGTAAATTGTGCGCACAATTTAGCAAACCAAGGGAACGAATTAGTAAATCGTGCTCATGATTTATTTATTTTTTCTTGCATGTCATGTGCAGGGCTCCGTATACAGTTCAGATGCTTTTTGGAATTGCAAGTAAAAAAGAAAAATCAGAATTAAGAGTTGCAATTACCATTTTTTTTTATCCCGTGGTGGAAACAATTCCTGCCTATTCCTGTCAGAGTAATCTTTCAATTAGGTTGGTCCTTAATAAATGTGCATATTGATGTTTATTTGTTTACTGCAGGAACTTTACAGTCAGTCGTATGATGAGATCGGCGTGATGTTCGCCTCTATTCCCAACTTCTCTGACTTTTACACGGAGGAGGGTATAAACAATGGAGGAATAGAATGCCTCCGAATCCTGAATGAGATAATCTCTGACTTTGACAGTGTGAGTGTCTCCTTGTACTTTATTTCTTGTATACGTCATCATTTGTTCAGCAGAAGTTCTCTTTAAAATCATATGATGTGTTTTTTCATTCGGAGTAGCTTCTGGATCGCACAGAGTTTCGCCACATTACGAAGATCAAGACCATCGGCAGCACATACATGGCTGCATCAGGCGTGACGCCGGAGAGCAACACTAACGGATACGCAGACCGCAAGGTCAGCTTCACAACACATGCTAACACGTAATACTTACACTGATGTAGTCTGTGTTAATGATTTTGTGTTTGTGATACAGATAGAGGATCAGTCCATCCTGGAGCGCTGGCAACACTTCGCTGATTTGGCAGACTTTGCACTGGCTATGAAAGTCTTACTTGGAAACCTAAACAAACAGTCGTTCAATAACTTCATGCTGCGCATAGGTCAGCAAACATCTGACTGTACTACAGACCTATGTTACTTCTGCTTATATATCAATATAGTTGAGTATGTTATATTTATGTTTTTTTGACCATGTTGTTTGTGTGTGTTTTATTGTCAGGTCTGAATAAGGGGGGTGTGTTAGCTGGAGTGATTGGCGCTCGCAAACCTCATTTCGATATTTGGGGAAACACTGTAAATGTGGCCAGTCGTATGGAGTCCACTGGGGTTATGGGTAACATTCAGGTGATTTAAGCTGTATTTATGTATTTAAAAAAACATAACTTCCCAGTATTATCTCAATATGTTTCATATTTTTCATCCATTCAATATTTTAAGTTTTAAATATTAAGCTTTTTGACAAATATTTTCCACACTGTTTTTCACTAAAACCAAGGAAAGATGATATTTAATTATTATTTAATCATCATTATTTATATGCCGAACCAATATAAAAAATATATGGTAAAAAACAATTTTCCTTTTTAAATTAAATATTTATACAATATTATAGAAAATATATAAATGTACTGTATATTTTAATTACCCATGACATTATAGAGAACAAGTGGTTTGGACAGTAGATGGATGTATATTTTAAATATATAAAATGACATATACTTCTATAATAATTATATTATAGAATATATATAATTATATATCTTCTATAATAATTATATTTTATTATATACTATAAAAATATATAATTGTTATTAATATACATTTTGTATTTGTATTAAACAAATTAATTAATAACATAATTAATGTATTATGTTTAATAAATACATTACATAATTTACATAAAAAGAATAAATCAAATCAATCAAATAAAACCTGGAGACCTCCTTGAACATTTTTGAGTCATGATGCCCATGAATTTTTTAAAGGGGTCATATGATGTGATTTCAATTTTTCCTTTCTTAATGTATTATGTTTAATAAATACATTACATAATTTACATAAAAAGAATAAATCAAATCAATCAAATAAAACCTGGAGACCTCCTTGAACATTTTTGAGTCATGATGCCCATGAATTTTTTAAAGGGGTCATATGATGTGATTTAAATTTTTCCTTTCTCTTTGAAGTGTTACAAGCTCTTGGTGCATAAAGAAGATCTGTAAAGTTGCAAAGACTAAAGTCTCAAATCCAAAGAGATATTCTTTATAAAAATTAAGAGTCAACCACGCCTACCTAAAACGGCTCGTTCTAACACGCCCCCACATATCTACCTCACTATGTGGGAAGATTTGCATAACACCGCCCAAATGTTCACGCAAATAAAGAAGGCATAACTTTTATTCTCGCTGTAGTATGGTTGCCGCTGCCAGCATGTCGTGAAGACACTGTGTGCTTCGTTTTGAAAGCGAAACTACTTTGTTTGGTCTTCCAAAAGAGGACGATATCTGCTTCGTCATGCCTAGAGCTGATCTGTGCTGGTCGCTGAGGGAATACATCAACTTAGTGCTGTGGATCGCCGGATCGGCTTTCACCGTGGACGAAGCAGAGTCCAGCCCGGGGTCGTCACATGTGCTTGCCGCTCCTTCGTCGAATCCGCCGGCCGCACCGTTCTCAATCCCGGCGCCTCGGCTCACTCTATCCCGTCCTCAGCTCACGCTAAGCCGGGGCTTCCCCTCACTCTCCCACATCAAATACCAGACAAATCCTGAGAAGACTGAGGATGAGAAGGACATTGACATTTTATGTTATGCTATTTTGGGCCTTTTCCACTTTTTATTAATAGAAGCAATGGAAAAGGGAGACTCCCAAATGAGCACTACAGCTCAACAAGTCTGCAGCACATGCACTACCCAATAGACAACAACTCAGAAAAATGACACATTACAAACAACAGCCAAAGGTTGTATTAACTGAACATTTTCTATTGTTTGTTTTATTTTAAAAACACATGTTCCATCATTGATACAGATCGAACATACACCATCTGGTCTACTGCATGCTTTATACACTTTCCGTTTATAAAAATGCTGATAGAATGTATGCATCCATGGATGAGGTTACAGTAAACTATGAATTTACATTTGTAATGATTGAAAATGTTATTGTTGGCTATATCAAGCCCATAAAAAGTATCAAGTAGACCATGATGAAAATATTATTATAATTAGTGGACACAAACAAACACAATCAGGAGCTAAAAACACTACTCAAATTCTGTCAGATCAAAGACACACACATCTTTTCAACAGAGCATAAAAAATGTTGTATATCATTCATAATTTTATATTCTATTATGGCAGCATCAACAGAGTTTTTATTCTATATTTTTATTTTTCATACAGCTTTTCCCGAGAACGTCACACTAAGACAATATTCTAATTGACATATAGTCAGAATGTTTTTTTGTAGTTGTATTTTTTACTCAGTGGCATTTTTAATAATCACCATCTTCAGGTCTATATCTCAAACCCAGCAGGCTGACTGATATTTAATGCTTTTTTATAAACTCACATTTCACTCATGACATTCAGTTTGTTTCATGTATAGGCTACTCTGTGAAACTCTTGGTTATAGATCAGATATGTCTCAGAATGTGTGGATTTTTGTAGATTGTGGATTTAGCAGCACTTTATGCTGTTCTCTGTGTTTTATTGTTTGACAGAATGAGAAAAATGATTTAATGACTAAAAGGGCACATTAAAAAGCCAATAAAAACCTAAAAAGGTATATTAAACAGACAGATTTTAGTAGCTTCTTGTTGAATTTTAATAATCAACAAAAGTCTAGTAACCAGTAGTCTATTAAACAAGTCTATATTGAAAATGTTATTGTTGGCTATATCAAGCCCATAAAAAGTATCAAGTAGACCATGATGAAAATATTATTATAATTAGTGGACACAAACAAACACAATCAGGAGCTAAAAACACTACTCAAATTCTGTCAGATCAAAGACACACACATCTATTCAACAGAGCATAAAAAATGTTGTATATCATTCATAATTTTATATTCTATTATGGCAGCATCAACAGAGTTTTTATTCTATATTTTTATTTTTCATACAGCTTTTCCCGAGAACGTCACACTAAGACAATATTCTAATTGACATATAGTCAGAATGTTTTTTTGTTGTTGTATTTTTTACTCAGTGGCATTTTTAATAATCACCATCTTCAGGTCTATATCTCAAACCCAGCAGGCTGACTGATATTTAATGCTTTTTTATAAACTCACATTTCACTCATGACATTCAGTTTGTTTCATGTATAGGCTACTCTGTGAAACTCTTGGTTATAGATCAGATATGTCTCAGAATGTGTGGATTTTTGTAGATTGTGGATTTAGCAGCACTTTATGCTGTTCTCTGTGTTTTATTGTTTGACAGAATGAGAAAAATGATTTAATGACTAAAAGGGCACATTAAAAAGCCAATAAAAACCTAAAAAGGTATATTAAACAGACAGATTTTAGTAGCTTCTTGTTGAATTTTAATAATCAACAAAAGTCTAGTAACCAGTAGTCTATTAAACAAGTCTAGTGATTAATGTAATCTAGTGAAAGTCTAGTGAAAAATTTAGAAACATTTGACATTTGAAGGTTAGAAATCTTGTGTAATTTGAAAACTCGTTGACAAAAGGTTTTAGCATTATGTAGACTGGATATTTGAGTAGTCTGAAGAAATATTTTAAGATGATAGATAGATAGATAGATAGATAGATATAGATTATCGTAATAAGGAAGATAGAACAGTAATAAGGAAAGGGTTGTAAGGGCTATTGTCAACCGTAAACAAGTTTATAGATTTTTTATATATCCAGTGATCTGATAATCTGTTAAAGTCACTATAAATATAAAGTCACTATAAATATTATTGATGAATTGTTAGTCTGTGGTAAGTTTCTGCGTGCGCCCCCTTTTGGCGGGAGCGCCGTCCGGAAGTGAGGCAGCAGGGGAATGTCCGGTGACGTCAGCGCGTCTGGACGCCATTAGATCTGCAGCTGTTTGGAGAGAAACAACAACAACACGAACGAACGAACGAGCCTCGCACGGAACGGAACGGAACGCGCTCTGGACCGCGGGAGCCCGACGCCTCTTTCCCCTCCCCCGGGCTTCACCGGCTTCTAACCACGGCCGCTCTCGGTGAGGAAACTCTGGCCTCCGCTTCCTCCTCCTCCGACTCGGACACCGGCGGAGCGTCGCCGCCCCCGCGGAAGAAGCACCGATCCTCGGCGGCGGAGGGAGTAGGAGAGCCCGGGGCTTCAGCGGGCCTTCCGTCAGCGACCCACCTGAGCCGAACCGGCACCAACATGCAGTCGAATGGGACCGGACAGGAGCAGAACCACCCGGCCAGCGCGCAGAACGGAGATGCCAACGGCCTCCAGAGCAACGCAGACTCTGCTTCGGGGGCCTCCGGGACTGGTTCGGGTTCCCTGAAGAAGAAGAAGCGTCTGTCTCAGGCGGAGGAGGACGTGATCCGCCTCATCGGACAGCATCTGCACAGCTTAGGGCTGAAGTAAGTGTCGCGGTACACAACCGGACCGGGTCGGTTCTAGTCCGACAGATCGCAGATTTTGCAGCCGTTATGTGATCAACGAAGCGAGCTCGCGACGTCGAGATTTAAAAGTCGCGTTCAGTGACAGTCAAAACTTTTATTCTCCGTAAAAATTAGATACAAATATCCATCATTTAATCTAGAATATCAGACAGAGATGCACACAAAGAGAGATGCGATCACAGATGACAGCTGTACGTATGTGTGAAGTATTTGCCGGGCCCAGAAACATATTTTAGCTTTAAAGTGTCAAAAGTAACGTACAGATGAATTCATTACAAGCCAACATCCCTTCGCTGGTTTATTACATATGTGTGTTTACGCATTATCAAATCATTATGACATTTTGTGTGTGGTTGTCTTTTAATGGCGGCTGTGGAATGCGTGTGTAGCAGCAGCTGGTTTACATTAGAAAGAAGCTTGCATCTAATTTTAGTGAAGATCTGCTAAAGCCATCAGCTGCTATTCAGATTCAAACCGCAAAACATGAATCCAGAACGATCACAATCCATATACGCGTGCTTGAACAACACACAACTGCAGATCTAGACTACAAGATGTACGGAAAGCATCAAGAAAACTGAAAACATCTCTCTCTCTCTTTTGTAAGCATAGCATGACGTCATTCTGTCAGACCCTGCATTCAAAACACTTTCGCTCTGTTCTAGAAGCCTTCACCTGCCTGTAGCGTCCCAATCACTGCCATCATTTTCATCTGCATGTTTGAGCTTGTCTGTGTTATTCTGTCTTTGTTCAGCTAAAAATATATGTTCATAAATGTGAAATTGTGAATATAGGGCCACTACTGAATATACACCACTGGGGAAGTCGTGGCCTAATGGTTAGAGAGTGGAACTCATAACCCAAAGGTTACGGGTTCGAGTCTCGTACCGGCAGGGATTGTAGGTGGGGGGAGTGAATGTACAGTGCTCTCTCCACCTTCAATACCGACTGAGGTGCCCTTGAGCAAGGCACCGAACCCCCAACTGCTCCCCGGGCGCCGCAGCATAGATGGCTTGATAAACAAACAAACAACCATTTTTCACCAATCCAGTCAGTTCCTAGTGGATAAAGTGGCTAATTTTTCCTCATTAAATATCTTACTACACTTGGAAATATTCACATTATTGAAGTACAATAAACAGGGCACTTTGAAATCCATATTCCCCCAAATTCTGTTTAACAATTTAATTTTAATAATCAAAAAGAATGCCTAATCAATTGAATTAATAAAACATTATCTATTCAATAATTTATTATATTTTAACACTAATAGTTCCATATAAATGATATGAATAAAATACAAATTGTATCAAATATGGTGGTAATCAAATGAATATAAAACTTTAACAGTTTAGGCTAATTAATCCTTTGAAATAAAATCAAATTAAATTTGAACAATTCCTTTCATTTTTTGGCAAACAAAATGGTGCCCAACAGAAGTTTACGGTTTAAATTAAAACATCAGAGAAATTGTGATATTCCTTAAAAATACTGATTTAATAATACCGTTGTGGAAAGCATAGGGTTCTAAATGAGTTGTGAATGCCGTGCCATGTTTACTAAGGTCTGATCATGCTGAGTGATGGGTGAACTGTAGGTCAAAGGTCATGTAGATGTGTATAGATATGAGGGGGTGGTGAAAGGTCGTTATAAAAAAAAGCTTAATTCCTTCTGGTTTTGCATGCATAGAGTTTTATTCTTGTCTCTGGAAAAGCTTTGCCAAGACTATATCTTAAAAATGTAGATCCTTTAATGCAACAGTTCTAACCACATTCTCTAACCACAAGTGTGATTTTTCAGAACATGATTCCTTTTCCTGTTCACGTCATAAATAAATTGAAAGAAAAGAGTCTGGGGCCATTTGAAAAGTGGACTCATATTTTGACTGCAGTGTAGTTTAAATTGGTGGAAATAAAAACAATCCAGTTATTTTATATTTTATACAGGAAGAAGCAAGTTTATTTGACCATCTCTCACCTGAATTTCTGAGAGTTTGGACTATTAAAACCAAGCTCTTCTAAGATGTCAGGCAAAAACAACAATCATGCTCAACCTTTAGGAAAATGCTTTTCAGAGCTCATGGTGGGATAAGACAAACTCTAGAAATTGTTTGCACATTTAGTCGACCATGCTTCTGTCTTGAGGAGCTGTTTGGACCGCTGAAGCAGCTGTTTCTGATAGGGTTTTGGGTTTACTTTTACTTTTCCTTGTCTTCTGCCTCGCTGGACTAACAGTGGCAAAGCTGAATCCTATTTTTCCACCTAATTGGTTCCTAGTTTTCCATCTATTTATAGAGGCAAACTTAAAAACATACTGCTTCTTTTTTCTTAGAAAGGGATCTTGTGCAGAAAATGCTGATGAATTTTAAAGTGATAGCGCATTGAGGAATTATAATTCATCACTTTCATTTGCTTCATCATCGTTTTAAACAATATGTGTATTGTTTTGCTTTTTGATCTTTCTTTAAAATACACAACACTTTTGGTGTTTTGCTAATCTAATACAAATACATTCAGACCGTTAAAGCATGACTGAAGTGTTTTTGGGGCCCATTAAAGTATTTTTGTTTTAAGCTAAAATTACTTATTTTGTCACTTAGCTTTAATGTTTTAGTAAACCCAATATGGTTGATGGTGATATCCCCCCCCCCCAATCCTGGATGAAAATGCTGAACTGCCGCTTTT